GGAAGACCCTCTATGAGGTAGATTGATTCAGTGACTGGTGTAATCAGGATGGGTGTGTTGGAAGCAGTGAGATTGGCACAGGATAGAGCAGGATTTAGGGCTGTTGTACAATGGGTCGCTATGAGTTGCAAGCAACTCAACAGCACATAACAACAACAACAACAACAACAACAACCCTTTGTTTTGGGCTTTCTACATTCTTGTGCAGGTTTGTTTCAGAGTCTTTTCTGATATGTGGTTTGGTCTTTTCTTTCTGTTCCATCTTTGCAATGACCTCTTGCTTTATTCGTGGATGGTGTTATTGATGCCATCCCACAACTCATTTGGTGTTCAGTCATCAGTGGCCTCAGCTTTACAATTGAGATTTTTCCCCCCGTTTTACTCATATGGGATAGACTCTAGGTTGTATTTTAATTCTTATGCACTTATTTTTATTTTCTTCATCTTCAACTGAAATTTGCACATGAGTAATTTATGATCTGCACATAGCCAGTTCTTGCCTTGTTTTGACTGCTAATATTGAACTATTCTATCAAATCTCTTTTCATAGCTGTAGTCAATTTTATTCCTGTGTAGTCCATTAACTGAGGTCTATATGTATAGTTAGCTATTGTTTGTTTTCTTAAAAGCTATTTGCAATTAATTGACCATTGATTGTACAAAATTCTGTCATTCAATCTCCAGCCTCATTTCTGTTACCAGGTTCATATTTCCCAAGTACCAGTCTTTCTTTTTTCCAACTTCTACTTTCCAGTCAACAATGATTACTAATGCATCTTGGTTGTCTGTTTGATCAATTCCAAACGGAAAAAGCTGGTAGATACCCTCATTTTCTTCAGCTTTGCCTTTAGTAGTTGGAAAGTATATTTTAATAATAAATGTATTAACCTGTCATTGTTGTATGCATGTGGATAGTATCACATCACTAATGACATTGTACTCCAGGATAGAACTTTAAATGTTCTTTTTGTCTATTAATAGCCCAAACTAGGTTAACTAAACCTAGAGAGAAGTGAGAACATGAACAAATTACTGACATTGAAGGACTTTTAGTGAAAGAACAGATCATTGTTGGGTCTGAAATTCCTCAGTGCTATAAATGAAGACTGCTGTAACAACCTCACATCATCATTAAATAGTTATTACTATATGAACATTTTCTATAGTGCTGATGGCTTAATGTGTTCTCATTTGTTTCTGTACTGTCATATAATTTTAGGTCTTCCCAAGGACATAATAATACAATTCATGTTAATGTCTTATTTCATGTTCTTACTTCAAGACTTATATACAAAGTCCTAAAAAGTTTTGCCCACCTTTTATCAAGGGTAAGGAGACAATCATCTAGACAGTTGTTTCTTCCTATATAACACCAAATGGCAATTTGCCACAAAATTTTGGAGAATTGAACTTAGTAGTTAATGTAATCATTTCTATGACAGTGGTCTGAGGCACTATGACAGTGGTCTGAGGCAATAAAAGTAAACTAACACTAAATTCTTACAAACTAATGGGATTTTCTTTTGAATATAAAGAATAATTTCAGATACCTGTATTTCTGCTTCAGTCACCTTCCTTACCCTTTCAACACACTCGAAGTTCTGCTTTGCTAGGGCAGCAGAGAATGAGTAAGTCAATCAAAACTGTCTAATGCACTGATTGAATCATCGCTCAGCAACCCTGAAGCTGATTTCACAGGAGAAAAACACTGTCCAACCGGTGAGCATGCCTAGGGATGCCAGTGGAAAAGAACCTTCCCAAGACACTTGAGTATGGTTTCACAGGATGCCTGTGAATGCCCTAAATTATTTTAACACACTCCAGAAATTTATAGATAACATGGTTACAATTTTTGGAGTAATATGTTGAGGTCTTGAAACACTGACTGTGAATGGGAAACTAAGTCTCTTGTTGGTTGTGTTTTCTAAGGAACTACCACTGCTGGAATGAGGCCTGGATGACACGACCCGACCTTCCTGTGGGGTTTGGTGGTTGGCAAGCCGTGGACAGCACCCCCCAGGAAAACAGTGATGGTAAAGCTGTCTCCTCTGTTGGGGAAATCACTTCACTTTCCATCATTATTTTGCTTTTATGATTGCATTTGACATGTGAAGGATGTTCTGCCGGTACACCAACTTCAAATGGGTTTTTTTTTGGTACACAAACAGTTTAAACTGCCAATCAAGTTTCATTTCTTTCCAATAGTCAGCTTTATCCTGATTATTTTATAACTTTTAGAATATAAAACTGAACATATATAATTCATCTACTCTTGCTTTGATAAGCAGTTTTGAAGACCAGAGAAAAATATCTGTGTAAGCATTTTTACTAGCCTATAAAATATATGTCAGCCCTCACAGATATACAGTGAGGTAATATAAAGCTGTGGAAAAATATGAACAAAAAATAATTATTGTTCTTTAAATTCTTGTTTCTTTAGAACCTTCTTTTTGATGCCATGTGATTTCTTTCAAAACATGAGTGTGAAGGGGTTTGCCTGCTAACTGGCAAACTAGGCTAAGCAGTGACAGTTATACCTTCTCCTGTATTTTTATTAAATCTCTCTTTACTATGATGAGAAAGGTCTGTGTGTTAGGGTCATAGTTATGTTCCTTTCCTCAAGTGTTGAGAGGATTCATTGATGTGTATATGTAAACACTTAAAGCACAGGCCAGCTGCCATATGTTGATTCCAACTCATGGAGACCTCATGTGTATCTGAATTGAACTGTACTCTATAAGGTTTTCAATGGCTAATTTTCCACAGGTAGATAGCAAACCTTTCTTCTAAGGTCCTTAAACATGGACCCAAGCTCCAACCTTTCAGTTAGCAGCTGCACACTCCATATATACCACTCATCGATCCCTAAAATGCCTAAACATTCTGTACATATGCCTAGTAGAATGCTGTTGTAATACTGGTTTTAAGTGAGAAAGTTCAACACTTCTTCGTGTTCTGGTTTATACGTTATAAACTTACTTACCTGGCGTCAAAGATGACCGGTGGAACTCGACCTCTTGTCACCTAGAAGTAGTGGTTAAAGAATTGTAGAGCACTTAGCATGAAACTGGCTGATTTCCTGAATCCACGGGGGCATCTGTGTGTTCAATGCTATATTCTTTAGTTAGACTTTATCTCAGTTGTACCTAAAACCTAGTCATAATCTCCAGAAGTAACAGACAAAATCAAAGTAAACAAATAGCGATCACTACCAAGGACATATTGACACTTCTAACAATTCATATATTCTGATAAAAGAGATGGCTCTGTGCATCACAATATCAAATCATCACCATCAAGTAGATTCCAGCTCAAAGAGATGCTCCATCAGGTTTCCAAGGCCAAAAAAATTTGACATTTTTGGAGGAGATGGCCAATCTTTCTCTTGCCAAGTAGTCAGTGGATTTGAGCTGTTGGTCTTTTAGTTAACAGCGTGATATATTATATACTATGCCAGCAAGGCTCCTAGGTAAGATGATTGTTGTTGTTGTTGTTGTTGTTATTGTTGTTGTTGTTAAGTGCCATCAAGTCGCAGGCCTTCATCAGTCATAAGTGCCGTCGAGTCGCAGACGACTCATAGAGACCCTATGAAGGAGAGTCCTCAATGCTTGGGTGCCTTTCATCCTCTCTCCAGGTTCATAGGGTTTCCGGAAGCAAGCTATTATGGAAGTGGATGCCATTTCTCCTACCAAGCTTGTTTTAGTGGGGGAGCTCCAACCCACTCTCTGTCCTCATTGGGTAACCAATCATTAACACATTTGACACATCAGCATCACAGTGTTCAGCCTCACAGCAACCACAAGTGACCG